TTTCTTTCGGTGTCGACTTCGAGGAGGCATTGCGAGAGAGATAATGAAACGAGAATCGAAATTGAGAGAGAGAACTAAATGAGTTTTGATTTTGAGAGGATTAGCGGTTTTAATTTGTGAGAGGAGTAACGGTTTTTCCCGATGAAATCGCCGGAGACAGAGGGGAAGAGGAATAGTTAGGGATCCGGTTTGGGGAGGTTTGGGTCGATCTCGGTTTGGGGAGAGAATGGGTCTCGGTCTCGGTTTGGGTCTCGGTCAGCGATAAAACCGAGGTATTTTGTGTAATTTTTAAGTTTTCTTTAGGGTAAGATGGTAACTAACCTATTTTTCGGATTAAAAATAAATCAAAACGAAAATCATTTAAATTGGTGTATTTTTCAGCTTACATATTGGTCAAAGTGGTCTTTTGAGACAATTTTTCACAAAAAAATGTGAAGCAAAAGATGGATAAGTTGGCCCATTTCGTAAAGCCGAGTAGTAGCCCACTTACAGTAGAAGATGCGACCGACCACAGCTGGAAGATCTCCGTCGTAGAAAACTCGCTTTAGAGATTCGAGGTCCATTGGGTGTGCCGTGTGGTGTCTTTTCTTAGGGTTTTCGTTCTTCCTTCCGATCTAAAATGAACGGCGACTCTCGACTCCGACGTGACTATGATTTCTTCCGGAGAAGCCTCCAGTAGCGAAGCTCCTTCCTCTTCCACCAAGTGGAGTGTCGTTGCTCTCTGGGCTTGGGGTAATCGCCAAGAGATCCTTAATACTATCTGGAATTTATGCTCCGTTTTTTGATTTTGGTTAGGTCAATACTTTTTTTCATCGATTGATCTTTGTTTGGTTGCAGATATTATTGTTGACAAGTGCGCGATCTGTAGAAATCACATCATGGATCTGTGTAAGTCTGAGATACAATTGATTTGAGGAATTTCTAACGATCATGTTGACCACGCAAGTGCTATGGAAATTACAAAAATATATATATAGAGAGAGAAACAGAGAACTAGTTGTCACCTTCGTAATACAATTATTGTATTAGATTACGTAGACAAGTCTCTTAGTAGTATTATTCTTCCTTTTGCATTTCCCTTCACGGCTTGAACCCAAACACTCTTGGAACATAGCTTTGCGCTGCTCTCTGTGGCTTCAAATACCATCGGGAACAAATGTGGTCCCAAAGTAAGCTCCATCTATATCTGTTTTCACATGTTTAAAGAAAAGATAGGACAAATATCGAATATGTAACGAAAGGAGTCCTGGGGTTGTCAATATGTAACGAACATGAATCATTCCGTATAACAACACCTCGGCCGCTGACTCGATCAATTTGTTCTGTTCCTCTGTAATTATCTCACCTGTTAACCACGTCGTCAATG